GCTTGAAGCTCTGACTCAAGGGGGGGCATGGGCAATATACGTAACCGTAACATTTGTACCCCCATATGCTGAAATTTTTTTAAAATGTACATATAGGGTTTAAAAAGTCACAGATAAGTTTTATAACAGCATATGTAACACATAAAAACATTTGATTGGTTTACATCTGTGTCCTCTTTGTGAAAATAAAATCTTAAGGGCAAGGATTGCATTTTATTCATCTGTGTATAGTACAGTACCTGCTTTATGGTTGGGGGTCAATAAATCTTTGTTAAATGAATGGAAAAAAAAAACCAGCATTTCAAATGACTAACCATCACCCATGGTGGGGGTTAGAGGGCAGGAGCAAACCATTCAGCACTTTGAATCTACATATATATTTAGTCTAAAGACAAAATGAAGTCCATACAAATTCTGAACTCTTAATAGGTTTATTTTTCATAGTATTATGGATATAGCAATTCTAAAAAACTATTTTGCATATATTGTAGGACCAAGCAAATGAGTAAGCATTTTAATGATTTTAGAAATAAATATTTTGATGGGGAAGCCATGGAAGAACCCTGTAGGGCATAATGAGCATTACAGGCATAGTTATGAATTTATAATTTCTAATAATATGTTTTCTAATCCTACCACTGAAAGGACCTAGAAATAACGACACGCCAGTGGCAATGAATAAGCACAATTAACATCAGAACTTGATTTTGAAATATCAATCCCTGTTAAAAAAACATCGGAGCTCCTTAGAGAAAGGTTGATTCCAGGCCTGGAAAGGTTGATTCCAGATCTAAGATGACTCTAGAACATCTTCCACTAGAAAGAAAGAAACTGCTCAATAAAATGATGGGAGCCACGTCAAAAGGACACAGGAGCCACCTTAAAGGGATTCCTGCAGGCCAAATCTCAGGGAATTTGAGCATCCAAATAAATGATAGTAACGGATTATAACCCACTGAGTAAAATATGAAATTATGTGTCCATGTTGATAATAAGGAGCAGGGGTTTTTTTCTATAATAAAATGTTTTCTAAGAAATGTATAAAAAGTGATAAAATTAGGAAAATCATCATTTTGCCATCATAAACAAGACTCATCAACAGATGGTAAATCTCTGGTGTGCAAGTAAGAAAACAGGATATTTTCACAATATCGAAGTATCTCTCCACGATTACTTACTATAAAGGAAAATATAATAACTGCAGTGAAAAAGACTAATGGACACTATCTTAGACAAGTGACAAAAATTAACATCAAAAATAAAGAGACAAACCAACATCAGGTAAATTCTGATGTGGTGCACTGAGAAGGACACAGCATTACTGACATAATTTTCCTGCTAAAAATGCACAACCTATTTCTCAACATGAGGAAACACCAGAAAAACCCAAATTAAGGGATATCCTGTATAAGGCTTAGCAGGTATTCTAGGTTAGAGTAGATTAAAAAGTGAAATGCATGATCCTGGGCTGGACCTGTATCAGGGAAAAATAATGGACACTGACAGAACTGCAATATGGACTATAGTTTAAAAGTATTTTATCAATGTTAGATCTTCTGAATTTCATATCTGGACTGTAGTTACGCATAGGAGAATGGCATTGTTCTTAGTAACTACATTCTAAAGTACTAAGGGGCAAGGGTATGTGTGTGTATATATGAGAGAGAACAATAAAGCAAACGTGGCAAATGGTAAGATTGGAGATTTGGGGCCGGGCGCGGTGGCTCACGCCTGTAATCCTAGCACTCTGGGAGGCCGAGGCAGGCGGATAGCTCAAGGTCAGGAGTTTGAAACCAGCTCTGAGCTAGAGTGAGACCCCGTCTCTACTATAAATAGGAAGAAATTAATTGGTCAACTAATATATATAGAAAAAATTAGGCGGGCATGGTGGCACATGCCTGTAGTCCCAGCTACTCGGGAGGCTGAGGCAGGAGGATCGCTTGAGCCCAGGAGTTTGAGGTTGCTGTGAGCTAGGCTGACACCACGGCACTCACTCTAGCCTGGGCAACAACGTGAGACCCTGTCTCAAAAAAAAAAAAAAAAGATTGGAGATTTGGGTAAATGATGTACAAGAGTTCTTTGTATTATTGTTGCAGTCTTTCTATAAGTATTAAATTATCCCCTCCCCCAATTTTTAAGATATTCTATCAACCATATACACATATGCTATGCATCTAAGTTGAGCTCCATGTTGACAGATTATGCTCCACTTTCTCCTTTGATTCCATGTCCTATGTCCCCACAGGGCTAGTGACTAGTACTCTGAGGCAGGCAAATGTTTGACAAGTCATTAAAATAAAAAATAGAAGTACAAGCTCCAAACGTCAGAGGCTAAGATCTAAAAAATCCACACATGTTTGCAAAACTTCCAAGTCCTTCTCTGCTGCATGTGCCTCATGTCCTGAGCTTCCCTTGGATAATCCCACATGACTTTCCCAACTCACAGATTTTCCATTTGGTCACCCACTCAGCCTCCAGCACAGTCATATCTTTCACAGAGCTAAATATAGCCATTCTATCAAGTGGGAAGTTAAAGTACCATTTACAGTTAAGAAGATAACTTCCCCAAGACTATTTCTTTAATGATGACAATGCATCACCAAATCAGGATTTGGACAAAATAGAGGCATAAAACATGCTATGTTGCATGAAGTCTACAAATAATTCTTAGCACAGTGAATAGGAATGCCAGCTCTGAAGTTAGACCTCTTGGATTCAAATCTTGAATGTGTCCAGCTGTATAACTTTGGGCAAGCTACTTAACCTTACTGATTCCTGCAGGCCAAATCTTAGGAAATTTGAGCATCCAAATAAATGATAGTGACATCCTGATCCTGTTTCTACATGTAAAATGAAGGTTGCCCATAGTACCACCCCATAGATGAATCTCACAGACATCATGTTGAGCTAAAGAAGCCAGAAATAGGCCAGGCACAGCGGCTCTTGCCTATAATCCTAGCACTCTGGGAGGCCGAGGTGGGAGGATTGCTTGAACTCAGGAGTTCAACACCAGCCAGAGCAAGAGTGAGAACTGTCCCCCCCTCCCTCCACCCCCGACCCCACCACTGACCCTGGTCTCTACTAAAAAATACAAAAATTAGCCAGGCATGGTGGCGTGCACTTGTAGTCCCAGCTACTCGGGAGGTTGAGGCAAGAGGATCACGTGAGTCCAGGAGTTTGAGGTTGAGTAAGCTAGGATGACACCACTGCATTCTACCCAGGAAAACACAGCAAGACTGTCTCAAAAACAAAAGTCAAAAATAGTACATAATCTATATTATATGAAGTTCAAGAACAAGCAAATGGTATCAGAGGTCAGAATAGTGGCTACTTTTGTGGAAGAAGAGTATTGACTGGGAAGGGGCACAAGTAGCTGTAACAATAACAGCAGTTTCATATTGAATGCTTACCATGTACTAGGCTCTTTGCATACATTTGGTCATTTAATCCTCACAACAATTCTATTTTGTTTGTTTTGTTTTCTTATTTACTTTTTTTGAGATAACACTTTTTTTTTTTGAGACAGACTCACTTTGTTGCCCAGGCTAGAGTGAGTGCTGTGGCATCAGCCTAGCTCACAGCAACCTCAAACTCCTGGGCTCAAGCAATCCTTCTGCCTCAGCCTCCCGAGTAGCTGGGACCACAGGCGTGTGCCACCATGCCCGGCTAATTTTTTGTATATATATTTTTAGTTGGTCAATTAATTTCTTTCTATTTTAGCAGAGACAGGGTCTCGCTCAAGCTGGTTTTGAACTCCCAACCTCGAGCAATCCGCCCGCCTCGGCCTCCCAAAGTGCTAGGATTACAGGCGAGAGCCACTGCGCCCTGCCTAAGATAACACATTTTTAATGTATAGCTTAATGCCTTCTGGGTGGCAAAAATGCAACTTCCCTTGATGTTTACATACTCACCACCTGGTTATGTGTGAGTATGTAAACATCCATTAAGCTGTACATTAAAAATGTGTTACCTCAAAAAAAGTAAATATAAAAAAAATAAAACAAAATATAATTGTGAGGATTAAATAAGCATATGTATACAAAGAGCCTCGTACATGGTAAGCATTCAATATGAATCAGCTGTTTTATTATTACAGCTACTTATTACAAAAATAGAATTATGATTTTTCAAAGATGTGTCTACCTTTCTTTTTACCACTCCTCAATTCTTACAATTTCGTACAATTTCAAACTTTTCTCTTTACAACTTGATATTGCTCTCTTTGTATTTAAATAAAGGAATTACAGTCATCCCATCCCTGAGTATACATGGGGGATTGGTTCCAGGACCTCCTATGAATACTAAAATGTACAGATGCTCAGGGCCTTGCTGTAAAATGATGCAGTATTTGCATATAACCTATGCCCTCTCTCCTGTACACTTTAAATCATCTCTAAATTACTTATAATACCTTATACAACATAAACCCTATGTAAATAGTTGTTATACTGTATTGTTTAGAAATAGTGACGAAAATAAAAGTCTTACATGTTCCCCACAGACAATTTTTTAAAAAATATTTTCGATCTGCAGTTGACTGAATCTACTATGAAACCCACAGATACAGAGGGCTAATTATATATAGTTCAGAAAATTCTGAAGAGCATTTTTAAAGAAACAAGGTAGCCAAAAGTATGTAGAGTTGGAAGTAACGCTAACTCAATGGCAATCAGCCTGAAAGTCATCAGAAGTCAGAGCTACAGACCTGGGAAAGCTTACATGGAAAATGAGTAGGCACCAGGCCCAGGCTTTGCTTTTCAGTTAGTTCTAAATTCTACAGAAGTTTAAACTAAAGGGAAGAAATTCTAGGAAATGGTAAACAAACAAAAAATAATAATATCTTCAGATATTGTTAAAGTGAAAGTGAAACATCACGGATTCATCCATCCCTGCAGAGCCAGCTCTCACACTGAAGATCATTTCTAAAATCCTTTGATCTGGTAGATTTTCTTAAATGTTGTCCTCAATTAGGTCACACCGTGTTAATTTTTAAAACTTACCTTTATGAAAGCATAGCCAACACCATTGTCTGTAATGGTGAGACCAAGTGAATCCTCAGATTTATACACATTCACTTCTTTTTTGATTCCTTTCACATGGGCAAAGATCAAATCCTGCAGTCCTATTTGTCCTCCTAGGAGTCTGTCCATGTCAATTTTAGGCGTGTTTAAAGTACAATATAAGATCTGCAAAGAAAAAGAAACATTTTAGGTCAGTTTCTATCATGATTACATTCTGTCATTAATTTATTCATAAATATTTCAGTGAAATTGTGCTCAATTTAAAAGGCTACATCATAGTCTGAACAACATAGCAAGACTTCATCTCTACAAAAAATTGAAAATTAGCCGGGCATGGTGGCACATGCCTGTAGTCCCAGATATTCAGGAGGCCGAGGGAGAAGGATGGCTTGAGCCCAAGAGTTTGAGGTTGCAGTGACCTAAGATGACACCACTGCACTCTAGCCCAGGCAACAGAGTGAGACTATGTCTCAAAAATAAATAAATAAATAAAGAACAATTTAATGTTATATCATAAAATGTATTTTTATGTTGGCTGGATAGAATTTGGCAATGTACATTCATTATCTCATGTAATCCTCACAATAGTTTTATAAACTACATTATTATCCCTATATTGCAAATGAGGACATCAAGGGTTGGCAAGATTAAGTAATTTGCCTAAGGTCACACAGACAGTACTTGTCAGAGCCAAGGACTTGAGATCATGTCTCAGCAACTTCAAAGTATTCAAAGTGGTTTAAACTATGTGGCCTATCCTTTATAATGCTCAAATCAAAGGTTATATTCCCAAAGGTCTGCAAGCTGCTATATACTGCATGATGTGTACACTACAATGAAAATACAGGCAAACCTATAAGCCTATATTTGAAAACTGGTAAATACGTTTTCTTTTAAGAGCTAGTATCTCGCTCCATCTTCCAGGCTGGAGTGCAGTAACACAATCATAGCCCACTGTAACCTTGAACTCCTGGGCTCAAGCAATCCTCCTGCTTCAGCCTCCAGAATAACTAGGGCTACAGGCATGAGCCACTATGACCAGCCCATTTTTTCTAATGTGGAAAATTTTATTTGTCTTGCTATCTAGTCCTTGAAAAAAGCAATTTAATTAGTGAATGAGGTGTTAAAATGAAAGCGTTTGGGAGCTAAAAGGGACCTTAAAGACTAATTCATCTAAATCCTTAATTTAAAAAAAAAAAAGGGAACTGAAATCTGGAGAAGTTAAAACAACTTGCCCAAATTCACGTGATGTAGAAAAAGAACAAAAAAGAAACCAAACAGTGAAAAGTTGTGTGGAGATTTTAAAGAGATTTTTTATGCTTTCCAAGTCTTTGTTTGACCTTATTTTCCTTTAAAAATATGGCTCATTCGACTAAAATGTGCAATGCAACTCCTAATTTTGGCAATCATAATCCGAGTAATTTGTAGGGCCCAAATTATAGTATATAAGGAAGACTGAGAACATGTCATTGGTTAAAACATTAAGTTCAACAACATTTAGTGAGTACATTCCACATACCAAACCAAAGAAGGGCATTTTAGTATGCTGTTTCACGCCAAAATGGCTAAATGTAATTTTTGTTAACTTTTTTTTATTATTGAGCAATGTTGACCACAGATATTGCTAGCCTTTCCTCCACCCCAGCCTCACTTCAGCCCTCACTCTGTCACCCCTCTCCCCATATCCCTAGCTTCACACCAATCCTAATTCCCACCCAAACCTTAAGCCTTAGCACATCCATAATCCTCATGAAGCTCAAAAACAGGGTGCAATTACTACTTACTGAATGGCTTTTAGGCCATCTCAAAACGTGTCAAAATTAGAAGAGCTTCATAAAATAAAACTCTCCCTGCTATACAATTAAAGGTTCAGAGTGGTCAGCCAAGCTCAGACCAGATCTTTGGAGGTATGTCATGGGGCACAAAATAATGAAAGCCTTCGGGGGGGAAACTACCACCTTCATCCTTTTTCATCCCAGGCTTTGGTGAGCCTTTAAGTTGACCCCTCGTGTTCCTGGGTAGGGCAAAATACATTCAGCTTTGTGGACAGTAAATTTTCACAAACATTCTCTATCATAAAAATCTGTGATATTCCCAGGGGGAAAAGAAGTTAGTTAAGCCAAGAATAGCACCCAACTCTGATTCAAAATAATTAACTCACTGACAAAAATTATGATGAGCAGGTAGAGGGAGAAGGGACTAAGCAGAGAAAACAGCTTTTCTGACTTTTCTTCTCAAAATAATGGGAAGTAAGTAGAAGAAATAACAGTTTTCTCCTTGGTTTTTGTTTTTTTTTTTTCCTGGTGTATCTGTCAATGGTAATCATAGTAGATCCCAAATACCAGCTTACCAGTGAGACAGGAAATAAAACTTTCAAACATAATAATGGGGTAACAGGATAAATTTCCTGTTAAAGATTTTCTTAAAAAAAAAGAAATCTCACACAAACTGAACTAATTACTAAGCCACTTCCTTTGCTTCCTTTCTTTCAACTTTTCACATGCTTCATCACTGTAGAGCAAATACTAGATTTCCTGTAGGTAGAACCCTTTTCCATCATGCTTCCTCCCCTGCAGAATAACATTCCACTCCAGGCAGCCAAAAGTTGGCAGGCAAGGCACTTTTTTTTCCTGGAAGGAATGGAGCCAACTATATCTTTCACTGAATGGAGCTCCATGGGAAGCCATGCTGCAAACCTGCAGGAATGTGATGGCCTCTGGGAGGTGGAGTAAGAACAGCAGGTCACTAGGGCTCCATGACATCACAGGAGAATAAGATCAGTTCTTCACGGAAGAATAAGAACCTACCATGCACACAGTATCACTGCACAACTATCATCTCTAAAGATGTGATAAAAGCCTAGACATTCAAACACATCCTCAAGGATACTGTATTTTGAACTGCAAAATAAAGTGATATATTACCTTAACGATGCAAAGTCCTGCTCATTCATCTACTCATCAAAAGTCATGAATATATAAATCAAAAGAAACCTCAAGTACATACTGTGAAGTTTTCCACCCTCATTCGTACAGTTCCCTCAATCCAAAAATCTAAAATGGCTGTCCACTCTCCCCACGCCACCCCAATGCCCTTGTCCATTGAGACCCTGCTCGAATGTGACAGCACAGGTGGACTCAATCACTCTTTCCACTTTGCTCACATAGTATAAAACTAGTACCTCATTGAGTACCTGAGTCACCTTGCCTTGAAGTCCAATTGGCTTAACACACCTATTTGTCACTCTCACTCTGTTAAGAAAAAGGAGATCTTAGTCATCATTGTCCCATAATGTCTGACATACTGCCTCACTCAGTTTATATCTGAATGGCATTTACAAAGCACATTCACTTACCTCATTCAATACGGCATACCCATATACTAGGTCTTATTATCCATATTTTGTAAATGAGAAAACTATAACTTTATCCAATTAATACAATTAGTAAATGTTTAAGAAAACATGACAGATTCAAGGTGAGAAAGCTGACTTTAAAAAAAAAAAAAAAAGAATAAAAATAAACAAGAAAATTAACAGTGAAGTGGTCATATTATCAATGTTCCTCTAAGAAATATTTGCCCCAGAGTCTAAGTATGCTGGATAATAGGCAGTAAAATGCAGTACTTAACATTGTGGCGGGGGGGAGTTGTCTGTTTTTTTACACTCTTTGGTGGATGAACTAACCCAAATAAAAAGTAAATGTATGGTGGCAAGGTATTATGCAACATAAGGAAAATGACTGATCCACTAGATATAACCTTAAGGATTCATTTTATAACCAAAAACATCATTAACACCTTCCAGGGTATCTACATTTGTTGCTTAGCTACCATCACTGCCTATTTCCATAAAATAGATGAAGTACTCATTCCATTTTCTAGAGCATCACTGCACAACAGAAATGTAATGTGAGCCACATAATCTTCCATTGTCTAATAGTCATACTAACAAAAGTAAAAATAGGTAAAATTCATTTACACAGTTCAATTATATAACCCAGTATATCCAAAATACTATCATTTCAACATATAATCAACATGAAAATTAATAAGATAGCTTACATTTTGTATTACATTTTTAAGATCTAGTATGTATTTACCCTTATCTCTTATTTCCATTTCTCTAATCACCCGTATTTAAAGTGCTAAGTACCCATATTTGGCTAGTGCCTACAATATTGGGCAGCTCAGTTCTAGAATTTCATGTCTTTATCCATTTTATACTTTTTATTTTGCCCATTTCTATAATATCTGCTCATGTTATTCCCTTGGCCAAATATGCCATAGCTTGAACACAACTTCTATGTCTGTCAAAGTCTTCCCCATACAATGATGCCTAGCTAATTTTTTCTATTATAATTATCCCAGGGTAAAATTATTTCTTTATCTTATATATACCTAATAGACTTCACACATCTCGTGTGGGACTTACCACCACATATCACTTTGTAAATTTTTAGGAAGCAGAGATTTTATCTTATTTATCTTATTGTGTCCCTATCGCTATACTTTACCTATAGGGAGAGGTTGATTAATTGAAGGAGAAAGCTATTGCCCTTTGGGGCCAGTGATGAGGGAGGGCTTTGAATTGTTACTATTGTGTTGGACATCAATATCTATAGTACCTGTATCCTTTGTCCCTAATTTTCCTTTGGAAACTTCTCTTCCTCATTTTGAGTCATAGGGTAGCTTGGATAGGAGTGACGTCGTCCTCAGTTCCATTGGGAATGAATCATGATTAGGTTTAAATCATTTAGTGGTTGATTCATATTCCAATTTAGGTAAGCTAAATCCAAGAAAAGAATTTGTTGAGTTTTCTGGGTAAAGACTCTTCTCTTTTCCACAGAAGCTGCTGGAAAGGTGACTGGCTCTAAATTAAGTGAACTCTAAAACTACTACAGTTACGGTCCTTGCCTGCGGGAGTGACCACTGCGTTGGTGCTCTGGGGCTCGGACCCTGGCTAGCCAGAAAATAAAGCTCCTCTTGTGTGATCGCAAAATAAATAAATAAATAAATAAAACTACTACAGTTACCTCTGTAACCATTAGAGGAGTGGGCCTGAGAACAACGCTGACACAAAGAAGTGCAGGGCCTCTGGGTCCAGACTGACGTAAAGATAGTCAGTAGTGGACACTGCAAGTTGTCCGCTCTTTCCCACTCCTAAC